GGGTGGCTGGCACGTAAGGCTGACAACCTTACCCCCATCTTTGAGACGATTGTCTAGATAATGTGGGACCCTAACGTCTGACAACCCTATGGGCCTTCACGGGCGGTTACAGGGATAGCTTTGCTTACTTTTTTTTACTTTTAGAATTTAAAGTTACTGTTATTTTTGAGTTGGCCAAAAAAATTTCCATGGGTGGTGGGGTGGGAAGTGTCTGTTCCCCAACTCTGCCGTGNGATTTCATCCATCGTCTGGTATGTAAAAGACAAAAGACCAAGACGTTTCGGAGACTGGATCTGTCTCCGTCTTCAGGTGGGTAGGGAAGGATAAACCTACTCAGTTGGGCTCGTTAGGAAGAGCTAGTCTCAATCACTGGTCCAGTGTCTTTTACATACCAAACGATAGATGAAGTCCAAAATAAGACAAAAGAAGTACATTCTAATATTTGTTTACCCATCCAGTTGTATTACAGGTAGATTTTATATCAAAATAAAATTATTGGTTGAGGCACTATGCTACAACTCAGAAGGTCGCAGGTTCAAGTCCCAATGAGGTCATTGGATTTTTTCAGTTGACATAATCCTTCGAGCCGCACTGTGGCCCTGGATTCGACTCAGCCTCTAACAGAAATTAGTACCAGGAATTAATTAAATACTTTTCCTGGGAGTAAAGGGTGGCTGGCACGTAAGGCCGACAACCTTACCCCCATCTTTGAGCCGATTGTCTAGGTAATGTGGGACCTTCAACGTCTGACAACCCTATGGGCCTTCACGGCCAGTTACAGGGATAGCTGTGCTTACTTTTTTTACTTTTAGAAGTTAAAGTTACTGTTATTTTTGAGTTGGCCAAAAAATTTCCATGGGTGGTGGGGTGGGAAGTGCCTGTTCCCCCACTCTGTCATCCTAGTAGTCTTCCTGCTGGTGCCCATTACCTGACTTGTAGAAGGATTAATGAAGCCATTTCAATGGCACAGTGTCTGTGTATCCATTTGTGTCTGTCTGTGTATTCTTCTGTGTCTGTCCATCTGTTTGCATATCCCTCTAATTTTTTATTGTTAGGAGGCTTATGAGATTACCTTGCTGTCAGTGTGTTTGTATGTCACCTCAACTTCTTTTCTTTTTCTATGTGGTCCACATTGTATAAAATGAAATTAGGCAATTGGTTTCTCCCAGGACTTCTTGTCCATGTAACAAGATCGACTTCATGTCTGTCTGTCTGAAAGCACTCCCTAAATTAATTACTTTGTGTGTGGCCCCCGTGTCACTTCAGAGGAAAGTAGGTGATTAGTTCTTCCCCAAATATATAGTATATATTGCTCATTTTGATGGATTTACATGTTTTTGGCTCCCCTTGAATATGAAAACATGGTTTTTGGAATGCCATGTGTGTGTGTGTGTGTGTCTCTCTCTCTCTCTAGATCTCCCTGCTCCTCAGTTGGCTGCAGGATATTATACAGAGGAAGAAATGTCAGTTAAGTTCAAGAAACACAAAAAGAAGGTATGTGTAATTTTAAGTGTCTATCCTCCCAGTTCTCTACTGGCACGGGTGAATTTTGATGGAATGATGTTTGTCAGAGGAAAACCAATTATTTGAACAATTTCCTACTTTGTCCACCACGAATGTTACACGGACCACCCTGAGGTTGAATCTGGGTCTCCACAATCATGATCTAACCATCTGACATGGCCTGGTTACAGCTTCAGGTTGAAGTACATTGTACGTTAGAAGTGTACAACTTAAGCATGTGCCACAATAAAAGAATTCTAATATTGGGCAGTAATTTTCATTTCATGCATCCTCTTGTGTTATAATATACAACTTCTTTATTACAACCGTCACAACACAACTAATATCAAGATCAGTGCCTAGTTTTGGCCCTGCTATATGTTTCGGGTATTAATAGCCATTATCAGGCAAATTCATGGTTAATATACTATATGCACCACTGAACCGCAGTACTACTAAAGTTGGATACAATATTAATTATATAAAATACTTGATGTAAAAGTACAGTAAATTATATTATATAAAACAAAAATAAAATTCTTTGATGTTTTACATCATTGAGTCAGTTGTTGGTTTTTGTAATTTTGTTGCGTTCCCACGGACAAATTTGAGTATTCTATATTTTGTGTGCATATAAAAATGTATTGAAGGCTCGTGGTGTAGATGTAGTAATATTAATGTTTATTTAGTCGGGTCCTCAACTTACAAAGTATATTAGTTGTGTTGTAATGTTTGTGTTAAAGAAGTTGAGCAGTAATAGTCGTTATCAGTCATAATACATATAAATGCTCATTCCCTCAAAGTCTCCTAAGCATTATCACCAGTACAGGTACAGTAGGACATATGGGAGCCGACGTCCCGAGGGGATCTAATTGGGATTCCATCTCAAACTATACGAACTCTTAGCTATTGTAACTTTATTCTCTTATTGTAATCAGCCAATTTACAGTAACTGACTTGCCCTATATTATGTAACAATGATCTATAGAGACGAAATAAAAAAAGGTGAAGTCCCTGTGCTTAACTAATTAAGCACTACGCTATGAAGGTGTATGGGCGAGTGAATGTATAGATCCACACTTTCTTGACCTCTGCACTAGACGGAGGTGAGCGGTCAGATTCACGCCCCGGTCGCTTTACACCCAAGGAAGAGCCCATTGTATAGGAGGTTGGCTGGACCTCACAGCCGGTCTGTATGACGGGTAGGAGAGAAAATTATTGAACGCATGGGATTCATACCGCAAACCCTGAGTCGTCCATCATGTAGCCTGTCGCTATACCGACTGAGCTATCCAAGGCAATTTAAAATGTTCAAAGGTCAAAATTAATTCTGTTTTTGATCTTGTAGTTTAATGGCACTCGGCATACGAGGGCTGTGTGATGTTGAGTATAATTTATTTTCTAAGTTTAATAGCTTTGGTGTTAAATTATTAAAAGCTAAAAAAAAGTAATTCTCGACAGATAGCTTACCTTAATTGATATCCAAAATGGCGGTTCGAAGATTAGGTAATGCCGTTGACACTCCAGTTTTCATCAATAATAATAGTGAAACAAATGAAGTAACGAGTGCTTGTTGTGATAAATTTAAAATAGAACTCAAACCAGCACAAAAAATTATTAAACTGCTACAAGAAGAGAAACTTAAACACGCCCAGTCGGACCGTAAGTACAGACGCTTGTTACTTGCATTACAACGAGAATTCACCACAATTGGAAATCAAAAAAAGGGAACTGGATTCATGTGATCATGAATCTTAGCTGGAACATCAGGCTAACCTGACTTAGGTTTTTCATGGTTTCTCACAGTACCTCCAGGCAAATTCTGGCTGGACTTAGTATCCCTAATCAGGTGACCACAAAGGCTTTTTTGTATACATTATTTACTAATCATCAGACATTTGATGCTGTATAGTTTCCGCTACGAAGTGTGTTGTGAAATCACGAAAGGAAATGTGGTGAAGGAGCAGTTTTGATTGTTATTAATAATCGGACACATCTTTCAGGGCGAGAAGAGATACTGTCCAACATCAAGATTGAGCCCGATGACAGCAAACTGGAGCTGCTGGTAGCCCTCAAGAAAGCACGGAGACTGAAGCTGCAGGAGGCTGTTACAGAATCAAAGAACAGTGCAAAAAAAGGTACATCACATCGGCAGATTTCCTTTTTAATCCTTCTCACAAATCTTTGGCTGTAGTCGGGGACATTTCTCTTGATCAGTCAAGGCTATCTTCCCCTTACCTGCCTCTCTGCTTTTTCTCCCTGAGACAAGAGAGGAGCAGCCCTATGGATCGGTGGTGGGAGGTGATGAAATTGTCCGTAGCTACAGAATCCTATGCCATGTTTAGTTCCTACACAGTGTCTCCATATTTTCCAGTTATAAAATATTGCACAGAACTTTGTAGTAAAGTTCATTATGATGTTTCCTTTTTGGTTACTGTACAAAACCATTGTACAGTGGCGAAACTGTGTTGTAATTTAACCTGAGTGCTGTTAAATTGTTCTGTTGTGGTGTGCCTCAAACCAATAAATCATGTCTTCACATTTAAGACATATCAACATTCTTACTATGCTACAAACTGGAAGCTCATGGGTTTGATTCCCACTGAGGTAATTGGATTTTTAAATTGGCCAAATCCTTCCAGCCGCGATATTGCCATGGGATCGACTCAGCCTCTAACAGAAATGAGTACCAGGGATCATCCTGTGGGAAAAGGGCGGCCGGCGCGTAAAGCTGACAACCTCACTGCCATCTGTGAGCCTTGACATCTCACAACCCTATCGGCCTCCATGGACTGTTGCAGTGATATCTTTATGTTTCTTTATACTACCATCGTTTCTTGTATTTTTGTTATTGAGACCTGTTATGGCCTCCTGCCAAATGGGCACCAGGGGGTGTTTCCCCAGGTGTGGGAGTGGCATGGAGCTGTCTACTCACCTCCATCTAGTGCAGAACTAATTAAGCATAGAGACAGATTTGCATTTATGGATACTACAAAACAGAATGCTGTATAGCTACATAATTTAACTGTTTGTGATTTATGATGTCTGTAGGTGGCAGAGTCAGTGATGGAGGGAAATGTGGAATGTGGTTCCATTGTGCTGAATGCTACAGCAGAATTCTGCTGCACACTGTGTGACATCCCCACTTAAGGTCTGGCTGGCAACATGGATGAGGACGCACAGGAATTGCTTGTGATCTGCAGATAAATGAACACTTGGCAAGGGCAGTTTGATTTAGCATGTGTCAACACTGGATACAGTCCATTGCCCATCTACAGGTACTTACTGCAGCTGCAACAGAATTTCAAAATCTTTTAGTTACAGTTGAATTCTGTGATAGTGGATATATGAATTACTGAACTGAGTACAGAACTGGAAACATCCAACAAAGGGTTCTAGAAATGAAAGCACTCAATGTACAATAAGAATGTTATAGTTGAAATAGTAGAACCTTTTTTTGTCTTCTTCTTCTTCTTCTTCTTGACAAGTTGGTCCTTCTGAAATAAAATGCTGTATAATGTGGTAAAGTCCATAAGCATTTTGAAGGAATGTCAGTGGACTTAGAGGGTGTTACTTCCCAGAAGATGGTGCCTTTCTTAATCTTCTCTAATCTAAAATCCAGCCTTTTTTTTTAATCTGTTATTTCATTGTTCTCCCTGTGCCATGTGCATGATACAAGGGTAGAAAAGATACTACTAGGAATTATATGTGAAATTGAAACAGGGATGAATAAATAGCTCAGAACATGACAAAATGGAAAACCAATAGTTCTTGTAATTTTATTCATTTCAAAGTGAATTGAATGTTAATTGTCACAATATTCTCACTGCAAACTCAGAATTAGTTTGGCAGGTGTACATTGCTTAGCAGAATGAGAGTTTGTTTCTAATAGAACTGTAACTTTGAAACATACTGTGATATTAAAAAGACACATTTTGGCAAAGACGTTTCAAGATGATCAGTATAGTCACAAAAATTGTCTTCTGGGGTATCATCCGAATTTCCAGGGGAACATGTCACCTGAATCTTCAGGGTCAGAGAATAAACAAAACAAGAAGCCGGCATGAAGCAGGTAGAAAGGTTGGCTTTGTTACCTGCCAGCGCTGGTTTCTTGCTTGGTTTATTCTTCAACCCTGAAGATGGAGGTGACATGTGTCTCCAAAATGTCTGTTGACTTTCAACAGACTACACAGCATTATATCCCAGATGACAGAACTCTTCAAAACCACTGCTGACAGCAGCTCAAATCCTACACAGTGTAGTCAGTACTTTACAGTGCAGTAATTTTTTATACAGTGGTTGGTGGGTAAGCAGTTCAGGTGTCAGTCTATCTCAAGGTAATGAATTGGTAATTTTTGGACTGCGCATTTGCATTGTGCTAATCTCATACAAAATTTACATTACAGGACTTCGAGAAGAAAATGAGTGAAGAGAAGAAACGTCAAGAAGAAGAAGGCAAACGTGGAGCTTGGAATGAAGTTGAGATTGGTGAGTCACTAGCAGATTCTTTATGTATAACAAAGGCCTATTCAAATTAAGAGATCTTGACACTTTAGTATTGGTTTTAATTGTCCGTTTATATTTTAAGTATTTCATAAATGGTGTACCATATTTAACCTTTATCGGGCGAACGTCATCATATGATGTCGTTAAAAGTTAGGGCAGCTGGCCGAACGACATCATATGATGTCGCGGATTCCACGCGTGTAAGGTTTTTTTTAAATTAAAAATATAAATTGTGTTCTATTTACATGATTTTTGGTCACCACCTTTATAAGGAGACAGCCTCCCTTCCTGCATGATCTAATGTAATCTAGCCATGTCATATGACATTAAAATTAAGGCCAAATGGCCAAACGACATCATATGATGTCGTGCATTCCACGCGTGTAAAAATTTTATAAAAATTAAATTTAAAATATAAATTGTTGTTCTATTTACATGATTTTTGGTCACAACCTTTGTCCATGTACAGTTTGTGACCTACGCCCTCAATACGCCTGCATAGGTCCCTAACTGTAGCATGTGTCACTGTCACGTCTTGGCTGGCACGTTTCCTGTCTTTTTCTAAGTAAACCTTCATGTCATAGGTATACCCATTGGCGTCACAAATTTTGAAGATTTTGATTCCGAAACGTTTGTGCTTCTTAGGAGTGTACTGTCTAAAAACCACCCTTCCCTTGAATTTAACTATTATTTCGTCTATGGCCAGATGTTCGGAAGGGTTATAATATTTTTGATATGCGTCATTGAGAGTGTCGAAGATGGTCCAAATTTTCCATAGTCGGTCATAACTGTCGGCATTCCTATCAGAGTCTGTACTGTTGTCTGCAAAATGTAGAAAATGAAGAATGTGAAGAAAACGGTCGCGTTTCATTGTGTTAGAGTAGAAAGGTGTGGCAAATTGTTCAGCAGTCGACCAGTAGTCCTTTAGTGTATCTCTAATGTCATGTCCCATTTGAATGATTATTCCTAGAAACAGAAACATCTCGGATTCAGTTACGTCAGGCCGCGGAGATGGTCCGTCTTCAAGTCTGTCTAGGTACTGGTGATAGTACCTATACGTCTCTTCCACCAGCAGTGGAATCCTTATTCATGGGTGGAGCTGCAGTGATATTTATCCCTGCAGCTACACCGGAATAATTATTCACACCTCTCCAGCCACACTGGTCTGGCGGTCCCCAAGTTGCCGACGAAGGTGATGACCCTTCGTCCACGGAATCAGAACTCCAACTTTCCTTGCCACTCTCAGAATTGGTTGAATAGCAGTCCGAATCTGTGTCATTGAAGAGCTGTTTCTCAATTTCAGCATCTTCCATATGACATCGTCGTGTGGCCATGGTGAACTATACGGCTCTCTAGCAGTGAATGCTTTACAGCCAGCACAAAATCTCTCTGTGCTTAGACCATGACCAGAAGCCATAAATCATAACCTCGTGCCCACACATACAAAAATCTCATTCACGTCTTGGCTGAACTCAATATATGCTTCAAACATGCTAGATGATGTCATGGGTGGCTAACCTTATATTGCGATGTTTCAAAATCGTTACAAACACAATGGTTTGACTGCAATGAATGAACGAATGACCGATCTGGCAACACCACATTCCGAGAGTGTACTCCTGTGTCTTACACAGCGAGCGATTTCAGACGCCCACAGTCCTGCATACTGACATGTCCCATATGATAAATAAGCTTCAACAAGAGATAACATTGTATGTGAGGTCGCCATGTAGGACTTACACTGCTAAAACGCATGGTGCAGAAAATGTATTACACTGCTGGAGCGCATGGTGCAGAAAATGTATGAATTTCGGGAAATTTTTATTTTTGGAATCAGTGTAAAAAATTTTTACAGATATTAAAATATGTAAATTAGAATATCTGATTCTATACTCTTTAGATTAAAGGAGCGTTCATTTCATTCATTTATCATAAAAAATGTAGAAATCACACCATTTTTAGAAACATGCTTACAATTTCATTGCTCTAGAAGGGCGGGCATTTAAATAAACTCCGTCCAGCTGCCCCTACCGGAAATTAAATGGCCCCTCTGATAAAGGTTAATGATATACTGCAGTTTTGTTAGGGGTTTTAGTAGAAACACATTAATCATTACTGTTTAATATTAGGAGCTGTGGGATAGTTGGTTGAGGCACTATGCTACAAGTTGGAAGGTTTTGGGTTGAAGTCCCGATGAGGTCATTAATTATTTTCATTTGACCTAATCCTTCCAGCTGCACTATGGCCCTGGGGTTGACTCAGCCTCTTAACAGAAATGAGTATCAGGAATTTTGGTGGGGGGTAAAGTGCGTCTGGTACGTAAGGCTGACAACTTCACCACCATCTAGGAGCCCATTGTCTAGAAAATGTGGTAGCCTTAATGTCTCACAACCCTATGGGCGTCCATGGTCTGTTACAGGGATATCTTGGCGCATAAGGCTGACAACCTCACCACCATCTCTGAGCCGATTGTCTAGACAATATGGGAGACTCAGCGTCTCACAATTCTATGGAACTCCATGGTCTGTTACTGGGATAATATTACTTTTTTTTTTTACTATATAGTGTCTTCATATGTAATGAATGTCACTCATAAAGAATGTCGTCTTCAGGGATGTGACACAGTATAGACATTGTGTAAACTGACGTTTTGGAGGAATGTATCACCACCATCTTCGGGTTATAAAAATCAACAAGCAAGGAACTAGCGTGAGCAGGTGGCTGCAGACTAAGTCATCTAAGTTGTCCTGTAGCTGTCAAGTCTTCTCTGCAGCAGGCTTTAGGGAAGAGAGTTGTCCTGGGCACGAGGATTGGCCACTTGCTTTGATTATGTAGTAGAGTAGGAGATTTTGAAGGGTAAAGAATATCTGAGCTTTGAATACTTTGTCATCTCCTCTATAACTGGATTGCAAGTCTCGTCTCATCTTGGGATTGACCCACTTGAGTATTAGGGAGGTGTACACGATGGTCAAGACAGTCTACCATTGAGGCCAAGACTTTAAGGAATTTAATATACAGCATTGCTTTATCTTTTTCAGAGATGATGAAAAGTTTGGGCGTCACGAGCGCTACAGTGGTCCAACCTCAGACTTCAAAGAAAAGGAGGGCTACAAACCAAATGTTAAACTCAATTACACAGATGATGATGGACACGTACTTAATGCAAAGGAGGCTTTCAGGTTGGCACAGATAATAGCATATCTGTTTTTAAGATAGGTTGCACTGTGGAGGGTAGCCTGTCCAATGGTAGTACATTCTTTAGAGCAGAAAAAGTTTCCACAGTAATTGCCATTTTAAGAAAAAATTCCAAGGAAGAAGCAGTTTTTCAGTGGAAACGGACAAGATTATGGGACTACTGTGTTTATCATTCGTGTGTGCCATCCTCACTGTAATGCGTGAACCAACCAATGGATTTATGTGAAACTCTGTATTGTTATCGTGCCACTCACATGTTCTTTCAGTTGTGTACCAGCAGCCATATTAACATGGTGACTGAGTTGGGAGCAACACTAGAACCACTTAAATTAGATCCTTATGAAAATGGTCCTGGGGTTAGCTGTTATACCCATTCAGAAGGTTGCGAATTCGGTCCTCAGTCATATCCGTGTACAGATTTTTCTGCTCACAGATGATGCCTTCACACCTACCAGAGTTCAAGCTTCAGGAATACAAAGGATACCTCCCCCCCCCTCCCCAGTGGGTTAGAGCTCATGTTAAATTGTAGGGTCCCTCTGCTGACCAGCACTATCATGATTACCCTATCATGAGGGGGTGAGATTATTGTCTTCACCTCAGATGCTTTCAGTAGAACATTTTGACATATAGTTGTTGGTTTGACTTCCTTTTCTTCCCATTCTGTATGTGACAGTTTGTAACTAGCCAACATAGTTACATTTGAGTGTGTAAATACTTTGTTGTATAGGCATGGAATGTGGCAGAATGGTTCATTTTGCAGATAGGTTGCATGAATTAGGAAGAAACATGCCTCAAAATTATTACTGTCCCATTGTACTTTTATTAAAATATTTAGCATTAATCATTTCAGTCCCTATGAATTTAATGTGCTGTAGCATGCCCATTTCTGGTTATTGGCTGTATGAGTAAGTTGTGTTGGAAAACACAAGTCCCTTGTACTGTGGCCACTTCTGGCCTATTGTAACAGCCCCAGATGATAGGTGAGGGTGATTGTGGAGCAATTGGTGGAATGAAGATTGGCAGGGGAAACCGAAGTACTCAGAGAAAACCCAACCCAACGCCACTTTGTCCACCACATATCCAACTTGACCAGACCCAGGATCGAACACGGGCTTCCACGATGGGAAGCCAGCAACTAACCACTTGAGCTATGGCACGGAACACGAGCATTACTACATTTCCTTTCTTTCTTTTTCAGGGCAACCATCTCAAAAACAAAACTGCAAATTCTTCATGAAATACGCTGGCACCAACTCTAAACTTTGGTGTGGACTTACGTTTTTATTGTTTCTTACTGTCTGGAATATCATCTCTATTTTAATTAAGACAGCTTGCAGCTGCCGACAGTGCCCATATGTACTGGAAGGAAGGCCACAGAGTTCATGTCACATTCAAATGAGTACAGTGGTTCTCCTGCTTCCTTAGGTAACCTGTTGGCACCTGTAAGCTGAAAAGTACAATTTCTAGTGATTAGTTGCTTGCTTATAGGACATGAGCCAGATGAACAGCCTCTATGCTAAATCAGACATGAAGTAATTATGTTTGGCCTTTCTTGATTGCAATAGCAATATTGAATCCTTCCAAGTGAAGAAAGAAACCCTTGTTCAGTTGTAGGTCAGTATGAAAAGCAGTAAAATTATGCAAGCAACAGAATCAGAAGATGTACAGTCTACTGCAAATCATTGTAAAGCACCACTGATATATCTCTGAAACATTTGTAATGGTTTACAAAAGTAACTTGGTTCATCCTGGTCCGTCACACTAGTAACTGTATATAAGGTTTTTAACCACTGTCCAGTGTGATTGATAAAAGTTGTTTTTAATTTTTCATCCATTACATGTTCCAGTCGAAACGACCATCTTCAGAAGGGTATTATCAACACATGTGGAAACT